GGAGTAAAGTACAGGGAGAGAGAAGACCAAGTTTATAGTGGTTTAGTCAATATGACCTACGTCCACTTTCAATGGAAAGAGTCGTCGATATTTTATTAACTCCGGTGTATAGGGAGGGTAAAGAGTTACAAGCTTTGAGAGGGAGATAAGAGAATTATGCTCAAATGAGTGAAATACCCCCCAAGTGTTAATGGAGTTTATAATTTATAGTGGTTTAATATGATAATTGAATAGCTAGTTTGGTGGTCATAACGGGTTGAAGTCGTTTAATAGTCATAACGGATTGGAGTGACTTTAACAGTAATTAAATAGCTTGACGATCTCTCATCTCTTCAACAGGCAAGGAAGTTATGATACTCTCCAAAAGACTTGGTCAAAGGATGAGAGAAGGTTGACTCTCTCCAAGCGGTGAGAGTGAGGCTCCTAGATGCTCCATTGGTGGCGTAGTGGAGCCTCTTAGATGACTCTTACTCCAAGGTGGTAGAGGAGGCTATTAGATAACTTTGCATGCTCCTTTGCTGATGTAGCTTCTTGATCTTGATCAGTTTGTCTGAGTTGATCATATTGAGCTGAACTTACTGGATCTCTTGGAGATGGGCTATAAACTCGAACCGGGCTAATAATTTGAGTTAGGCCCCTTAGGCTTGGCCCATCATTTTTCTCCCAATGCCTTGCATCTAACGGAACTTGGAAAGGAGAGAATTCAGTTTGAGTTTGAATTTTTGGCTGACTGACACAATTAAAAAAATTTTGAGAGGCCAAAACATCTGTTTCTAGGCCTTTTTTGGACTTTTTACAGATTAATCATAGCTATTAGCTATAAGTCTTGTAGAGCTCATCGAGAGCTTCAATTTAATATATAATAAGCCCCGTTTGGAGTCACAGAGCAAAAGTTGCGGACAAAATAGTGAGCAAGGAGCTGGGTGCATGATTTGGGCGGGCAGCAATTGAAATTTTTTTAAAAAAAACTTCGGGAGGCCCCAACATCAATTTTTGGGACTTTTTGGACTTTTTACGATGTCTTTCACTCACTGCCAAAGGCAGTGTGTTTTGTAGGGCTCGCAGAGAGCTTCGATTTGATAAATAATAAGCTCCGTTTGGAGTGTTAGATCAAAAGTTACGGTTAAAATAGAGTGCAGTACTTTTTAAATCTGAATTTTTTGAAAACTCCTCTTGATTGGCGACCCCCTCCCTTCCAGTAGACTCCTTTTGCTTGTGGGACTCCATGGACTATATAAACTCCTTCTTTCACTCTCCCTTTTGCATTTTTAAAGAGCCCTGAGTTGAATTTTGAGGCTTTTTATTTTTCCCTTCCTTCAATGGAATTTTAAAAACCCTAGGTATAAATAGGAGTTTCTTTTTCACTCCACATATCCCATATAATTTTGGGAGAGAGGAGGACAGACTTTTTTTGAAATCCTTCAAGAACACATAGGTGAAGCTCTAGAGTTGAAACTTTGAACAATGCCGAATGGAGGGGCACATGTGCAAAGGTCTGCAAATCTAGGTGGAGAGCTCGGAGTGGAATTATGCGAGTAGCACTGGGCGGTTTGGGCGATGCTGTCTACTCGAACAAGCAGATTAGGAGCGGTTTGGGCGAGCACGTTACTCATGCCTAGGGGCTGGGTGAGCTAAGGGAGGAGACCAGGGAGGCGGACGCTTTGGGAAGGGAGCTAGGCGAGCCTACTGTGCTCGAGGCCTTGGGCGTCGTTGCTGTGCATGAAGTGCGCCCTTGGCGCTGGGTAAGATGCAGTTGGGCGCTGAGGACTTGGGCAGGACGCGACTGGGCACTGAGGACCTATTGGACGTCATTGGTCAAGCAACCCAACTGTTGGGTATTGATGGAGTGGTGCCTGTGGTGTTGGGCCCTCCTGGAGAGGTACCCATGGCGCTACTAAAGGATCGTCGCTGGTAGGCGACTTTGTTGATAGTGATGGAGAAGCGTTGTTTGGGGACAAATGCGGGAAGAACTTGTTTGGGCTAGGTGTTAAGCGCAGGGGTGCTGCGGCAATGAGGCAACGGTGCCGCATGGACACAAAAGGATGATGCCCGATTATTGACATTCAATTTAATGTAGTCCTTCGGGTTGTAAATGACTTTAGTTTCAAGAGCTTGGCTAGTGATGACAAAAATAATGTTATTTCAAACATTAAAATATCTAACATAATTATTTGGAGAGAGAGGTAGGCTACTTGCACGAGAGCAAAAATAGAGTTTGAGGATTGCTTTGAGAGAGCTGAGCTTTTGGCGACCCATGAGAAAGTTCTTAAGCTTGAGGTATAGACTGCTTGCTGCAAGCAGAGGCCAAACTTTTGGTGACTCGTGATAGAGCTGCTCAGTTGGAAATAGGCTGTCTGCTTGAAAGTAAAGTAGGGGCCAAGCTTTTGGCGACCCGCGAGAAAGCCGCTAAGTAAGATATATAGGCTATCTGTTTAAGAATAGTGTAGAGGCCAAGCTTTTGGCTACCCACGAAAGAGCTGCTAAACTGGATATATAGGCTGCTTGTTTGAGAACAGTGCAGGGGCCAAACTTTTGGCCACCTGTGAGAGAACCGTTAAGCTAGATATATAGGTTGTCTGTTGAGAACAGTGCAGGGGCCAAACTTTTAGTGATCCACGAGAGAGTCGTTAAGTTGGAGACATTGGCTGTCTGCTTAATAGTAGAGTAGAGATAGATCAAGCTTTTGGCGATCCATGAGATGATTCACCTCGTCTGGACCTGTTGATTTTCTCAGCATTCATATATTTTTGAGCTTTTGCCAAATATTCTAGCATGCTCTTTGGTGGTCGCTTCAGTACTGAAAAGAGAAAGCTTGATGATTGGAGGCCTCCTAGGAAGGCGGTCATGCTGACCTTATCATCGAGCTCCTCGACCTGAAGACCTCCTCGTTAAAACGAGTGAGGTAGCTTCTCAGACTCTCATCTCGATCCTACTTTATATTGAGCAAATGAGTGGTAAGCTTCTGATGGCGGCGTCTTCCAATGAAGCGTGACACAAAGGACCTGCTTAGCTCAACAAATGAGCCAATGAAGGCTGAGGAGAGCTTGACGAACCATTGTCGAGCGGATCCCTTCAAGGTGGTTGGGAACGTTCTGCACATGATTTCATCGGAGACATTATGCAGCTGCATCAAGGTCTTAAAATTTTTGAGGTGGTCCAGTGGATCCTTCATACTGTCAAAGGTTTCAACGGAAAACATCTTGAATTTCTGAGGAAGTGGGTAGTTCGCCACGTCAGGTTTGAAAGGTGTGTTGGTTCGACTTACGAGATAGTCAACTAGCTTAGGTCCATGTGCTTTCATGGCATTGAAGACGTTATCCAATTGATTTTGCACCTCAATTTTTTTGTCCTAATGATTGGGAGAAGGTTCTCTGGAATTATCATGGAAATGGCTTCCATGCTTCATGTTTTAGTTTTCACCCTCATCCTCTTGGAAATGAGAGTATCCACAATGGGGAGTAGGAGTTGGAGGTGGAGGTGGAGGTCCTCATGGTGGGCCCCCTATGTAAGGCGCCCAAGGGAACTTCCAGAGGTGGGGCACCTAGATGATGGGGATCGCCTAGGTGTGGAGCTCCTTGATAGCCAGGGTGTGGAGCTCTTTTGACTTGAGGTCTAGGCTGCGCTCTTCCTTGTTGTCCAAGCATCAGTTGCAGAATCTGCTGGTTCTGAGCTATAAGTTGTTGCATTGTGTCTAGCATTTGCTGTGCATTTGGGACGAGATTGGCAGGTGGAGGAACAACCTCCTCCTCTTGCGCTGGATTGTCTTCAGGCTGATTCATGGATCTGGTGGTGATCACAATTGATTCAGCAGAGAAAGTGTTTAGGTAAGAATTTTGTCGATTCTCATAGACAGCGCTAAACTGATGATGCACACCACTGTCAATTAAGTAGTATGAAATGTAGTAAAGTAGAGGGAGAAAAAAGACCAAGTTTATAGTGGTTCGGTCAATATAACCTACGTTCATTTTGAATGGCAAGGGTCGCTAGCATTTTATTAACTCTGGTGTGTAGGGAAAGCAAAGAGTTACAAGCTTTGAGAGTAAGAGGAGAGAATTTTGCTCAAATTAATGAGTGAGATGCCCCTCAAGTGTTGGTGGGGCTTACAATTTATAGTAGTTTAATGTGGTAATTGAATAGCTAGTCTGGCGGTCATAACGGATTGAGGTCGTTTAATAGTCATAACGGATTTGGGGTGACTTTAACAGTAATTAAATAGTTTGGCGATCTCTCCTCTCTTCAACGGGAAAAGAAGTTATGATACTCTCCAAAGGACTTGGTCAAATGAGAGAAAAGGTTGACTTTCTTCAAGCGGTGAGGGTGAAGCTCCTGGATGCTCTCTTGGTAGCGTAGAGGAGGCTCTTGGATGACTTTACATGCTTCTCTACTAATGTAGCTCTTTAATCTTGATGAGTTTGTTTGGATTGACTATATTGAACTGGACTTGTTGGATCTCTTGAAGATGGACTATAAACTCGGACCGAGCTTATAATTTGAGTTAGGCCCATTGGACTTGGCCCATCAATGTATATCTGTGATCTATCATGATTTTCTTAAATAGTTATAACTTTTTTCTTATAAATTATAATTTTATCATAAAAATAATAAATGACATTACAATACCTCATTCGGTATGGTAGAGTTTCCCAAACTCAAGACGTCTCTACAAGGTCGACGCGTAAACCCTCGCAAGTGTAAGTCTAGATTACATTATGACGTCGGAAAGTAGCATGAGAGATCCATAGTCTTCCTACAATTAATACCCTCCATTAAACTCAGGAAATCCATCCCCTATAAATGTTGACATCTCCCCGGCCTTCTATATTCTCTCTCTCTCCTCAAGACCACTGCAAGAGTGCAAGTGGTATCTGTCAATACTAAATTCATCAAACAAGCGAGAAGTCGAAGCTCTTCTTTGCTATTCTCTCTTGTTCTTTCTTCATTTATTTGCACTCTGAGAGGAGAAAATTTATGTGGGGCTGCTGGGCAATTTGATGAAAATCATGGGCACAATGGGGAGAATATGCAACACGATAAACGACTTGAAGCCAGCAATGATGATGGTGACGGCTCAGATTGCAATAGCAGGAGTGAATATTTTCTGCAAATTGGCTGCAAATGATGGAATGAGCTTGAGGGTTTTGGTCGCCTATAGATTCATGTTTGCTACTGCTACTGTTCTTCCTCTTGCTCTCTGTATTGAAAGGTACGTAACATCTTCTTTTTCCTTCCTAGTTCTCGTGTCTTTTTTAGCGCAACAAAAAAGTTGCTCTGTTGTAAATGTGTAAACAATCTCTTTCTACATGCATGCGGGAATAAAATTGCTTATATTTAACCTTTCTTAGGCCACGAAGTAACAATAATACAATAATACACGAGGCTTGTGTTATTCCGTGCATGCAGGGATAAAACTGTTCTCTATATCAAAAGATATGTAACATCTTTTTCTTTTCCGAGTTCTTGTGTTTTTCTTAGTGCAACAGCAAAGTCGCTCTATGAATTTGTGCAACAGCCTCTCTCTATGAATTTGTGTAAACAACCTCTCTCTCTCTCCATGCATGCGGGAATAAAAATACTTATATTTAACACTCTCTAGGCCACGGAGTAACACGAGCCTTATTGAACAATTTTCTAACATGCTATTCTTGTGTAAATACTGCAGAAAGAAAAGGCCAAAACTGACATGGACGGTGATCGGGCAAGGATTTACTTGTGCACTCTTTGGGTAAGTTAGCATGCAGCGTGGCCATATATACATCTGAAGATAATTATTTTTAGACAAACTTATTCTTACCTCCTCAAGATATTATCTCCTCAACTATCAAGTTTCTCACAACAAGGCCATTTTATTTAATTTGAAAATCTAATGAATTTTTGATGATTAGATTGATAATAAATTTCATTTAATACTAGGAAGTATTGTCAATCCATGACTACAATGCATTAAATCTCTAAATTAAGTTTTTAAATTTGATCCTAATAACATTGCCTTCTCAACTGTCAAATTTTATTCCAATGTTTGATGGGACTCGCAATCAATTCAAGGGTTATAGTGAATTAAATCAACAAATTAAGTCGATAAATTATATCCAAATATCACTGCTCTTCAGTAAAACAACCCGAAGCTAAAATGACTAGAAACTCTAGAATAATAAATATTGGGTGAAATTGTGATATCACGTGACAATAATGATGTAGTATCAAAGTTACACCCAATTTTTATTCGAAACTCTATATTCCCTCGGTCTCTCTCCAAATAACTGTGTCCAAATATGTTGAGATTGTAGAAAAAATTTGTTGTCATACAGTCATTTGGCAAAAATTAAATGAGATGTGGACTTAGAAGATTTACTTAATCCAGTGAGATATTCAAATATCATAACTTATTCATTGCATTTGAACAGTTTTGTAACTTAATTTCCACTTGCATGCAGGGGATCATTGGCACAAAATTTTTATGCCCAGAGCTTGGTGTTAACCTCGGCAACTTTTGCAGCAGCTATAACTAATCTTATTCCAGCCATCACCTTCATCATGGCCATATTATTCGGGTATACTCGCACACACAGAGACATTTCACACTCATAAAACTAAACTGGTTCCCAAGTTGATGGCAGTGGGGGCACCCCCCAACTGGTTCCCAACCCTCCCTTCCCCACTTCAACTTTCAAGATATTCTTCAAATACATTGTGTTCAGCTTGGATCTACTGTTGAATAGTTTTATGATCCACATAACAATTGGTATTTCCTTTTTTATGTTTGTCCCCCTCTAATCTAGAATTCTAGCTCCGCGCGCTTGGCTTCTGCAAACTTAATATATTTCTTGTACAATAGTTTTGTTGATCAGCATTGCATCATACACATAACCCTCTGATATGGGGAATTTTGGGGACAAACCAGGTTGGAGAGGCTGGGCTGGGGTACTATGGCAGGTAAAGCAAAGATTGTGGGAACATTAATGGGCATAGCTGGAGCAATGCTCCTCACATTCTACAAAGGGATTGAGATTAACCTGTGGCCAACACATGTTGACCTTTTGCATGAGGGTCAGCATCAAGTTGGACACGTGGCAGCATCACACCATAAGTCTATTAATCACATCTTGGGTCCTTTATTGGCTTTAGCATGTTGTTTCTCTACTGCATTTTCTTTGATGATTCAGGTAATTCCATACCATTCTCTTACTATATTAATTTCTTGTCATTGTTAAACCTATCTTGCCCTCCACTGTCATTCTTTTTTCGTGTCATTACTAGGCAAAGATGAGTCAGAGGTATCCTTGTCATTACTCCAGTACTGCTTTGATCTGTATGATGGGATCACTACAAGCCGTTATTTTTGCTTTTTGCATGGAGAGAGACTGGCGTCAATGGAAGCTTGGGTGGAACATCAGACTCCTCACAGTAGTTTACTCTGTATGCCTTTTCCCACCCTTTAGATCTTTTTTTTTTTCCCTGTTTAAATGAGGAGAACCCTCCCAAGAAAGTCTTCTTTGTACTCATGGTTACTACATAATTTTGAATGAACATAATTACTCACAGACTACGTACATCATGCCAACTGAGGCGTATGTTGCGAGTAATAAAATATCTTTCAAACTATGCATTCCTTTTTTGGCTCATGATTCGGTTTTTTTTTTTGTGTGTCGCAGGGAACCATTGCCTCAGGACTGATGGTTACGTTCATTATGTTTTGTGTACGCATGAAGGGTCCTCTATTTGTATCGGTTTTTAGCCCTCTTATGCTTGTTGTCGTGGCAATTGCTAGCTCTTTGTTATTGAACGAGAAATTACACTTTGGAAGGTATCTCTTCTTACCTTGGGCACAGTTAGATATACACTATGAATGATCTAATGCTACATATGGGCAATATTAATGTTAAAGAGATTCATTTAGACTACTCAAGTTCATAAAACTTTTTGATTTAATTTGCATCTTCTCTTTTAATTTTAAATTTTAGTTTCAATTTGCTACCATACTCAACTTTGTTTCTACCAGTACTCATCCTAGATTTCTCTCATTTTTAAACTTTAAATCTGAGGAATAAGTTGAGTTTTTAAATTTCTTTTGGGACACACACCCTTGCACACAAACAATATGTTCATCCTTGTACACCTGCATGTGCTTTTGAAAACCCCAAAATCCTAAATGATAAAGGACCACCAATGCTAAAAAAACCCAAGTTCTAATCCCTAAATCATAGAAAACCTAAACTCTAGAAATACAGATCCTAGCCCAAAATTGAAACCCTAGACCACAAAGTCAGAAACCCTCAAACCTAAGACTAGAACCCTAAACCACAAATCTTGAACCCGAAATTTTGAACCCCTGAAACAAAATCTTGAAACCTAATCACACCTTAACCCCAAAACCAACTTCAAGGATAGCTCAGGTGATAATAGGAATGAGTTGTAAACTCAGACGTCTTGAGTTCGAATCTTGACATCCTCTTAAGGCTAGTCCATGAGGAATTTATCATTTATGAATACTCTAGTTCTGGTGTGAATGACCTGTCGTTGACTGAACTGAGGAGGGAATTAGTTGAGATGCGTGTAAAATTGCCGGAGGACCCTTGATCGAGGATTAATTGAGATGCGCGTAAGTTGACTGAAACATCTCTGACCATTGAACTGCAAAAAAAAAAAAAAACCCAAAAACCCAATTCCCATACTCTAAACCCGAAGCCTAAAATATTAACCCTGAACCCCAAGTGTTGGGAACTACTCTAATGAAGTCATTTATTATTTCTTTGGTACAAATAATTTATCTTAATACCAATTAGTTTTCAACTTCATCTTTAATCTGATCAATCTTTATGTTTCAGTGTGGCAGGAGGTGGAATTATAGTATGCGCGTTATACTTGGTGCTTTGGGGAAAAAGCAAGGAAATGAAAAGGATTGCTCAATTGATGCCATCGAAAAGTTCTAGAGAAAGTGATCAAGTCGACAATGTAGTCACATCTTCAGTAGAAACTAGAAAACGCATCAGCATTAGCAACATAATAGGAGTTGCTCCAAATTTCCTCACTATGACAGACACAGATGGATCTGACAATGAAGAAGAAGAAGAGAATGCCGAAAAAAATCCTAACCCAAATGTGAAGGTCTAGATATAGACGCTTTTTCATTTATTTAATTTATGTATTGCCTATAGAATTAGGGTTCGGATCTTATGTTATCTTATTATCTTGGGTTAATTTTAACAGAGGTTTTCAAAGTATGAGATATATCTCATTTTAGTCCATAGTTTAATTACATCATTTTAATCCCTAAAGTATTGAATATATTGTGTCCTTCAAATAGATAGTGTTCAAATTGCTAACGATTTTTTTATTATAAACTTGTCACGTGATACCTAAATATGAATAAAAAATAATTTATGTAGTTTTTGACCAAAGTTTAGGTAGTTCTTAACCAAAATTTGCCTTGCCCATGATCAAAATTATGTAATTTGGATAGTTTTTTGACCAAAATTTGGGTAGATTTTGGTTAAAAGTTATCTAAATTATTTTTTTTTTCATATTTACGTACTAGTTATTGTCTGTGTCTGAATGCACAGAGTAATAAAAAATAGTAAACAATAAACATATTTGTATTTATATCTAAAATTAAATCACAAATATAGAGAAGAGATAAAAGAATTTAAGCATCAGTTTGTAGTGGGGGTGAAAGGTGATGGACGACAGTGGTGATGGTTGTGGTGGGTGGCACTGACCGTTGTGCGGTGATGGCGGTGATGGTGGTGGTGGTGGCTGCAGTGCTGGTGGTGGTGGCGGTGATGTTGGTAGTGGTGGGGGTGGTGGTGGTGGTGTGACAGTTTCAAATGCTATTTTTTTTAAAAAAATATTTATGAGATGTAATTTCTAGAAGTACTTTTAAAAGTCACTCCAAACACACTTTTATGGGTCTATTTTTCCTATTAAATTTAGGGTGTTAATATTAGCCGTTAGATTAATTTTAAAATAAAATTTAAAGCGATCTCAACCGCGAATAGTAAAAGTCATTTTATTTATCTTTTGAGATTTGAATTGTAAATCATTTTAGTATATAGATTACGTGACAAGTTTATGATAAGAAATTGTTAGTAATTTGAATGTTGTCTACTTGAGAGACCACATAGAAATATCTATATAATAAATCTACCTCTACCACCGCCACCGCTATCGCCACTGCCACTGTCACTGTCGTTGTTGCCACCATCGTCGGCGCCACCACCACCACCACTGCTGTCGTCACCCCCACCCCACCACCGCCGCCACCCCCACCCCCACCGCTGTCAACACTACCATCACCACCCTTGCCGTCACCACCACCATAATCATTGCCGCCACCACCACCACCATTGTCGTTGCCGCCACCGCCACAGCTGCCACCACCACCACCATCATCGTCGCTGCCACCACCATCACCATCACCATCACCGCAACCCTCGCCGCCACTACCACCGCCACAGTTATTGCTACCCACCATAACTATCACTGTCTCCTACCACCATCACTGCCGCCCACCACCTCTCACCTCCACTACAAACTGATGCTTAAATTCATTTATCTCTTCTTTATATTTGTAATTTGATCTTAGATATGAATACAAATATGTTTATTGTTTATCGTTTATTATTTTTTATTACTCTGTGCTTTCAGGCACAAACAATAACTAATATTCGATATTTAATGAATTAAAATGATGTAATTAAAATATTAAAAATTAAAATGAGACAAACTCAATATTATAGAGATGTACAATATAATTAACCCTACTATCTTATAAGACAAATAAATTTGGGCTGAAATGAAATGCAATCTGGTGGTTTCCCCCCCCCCCCAATCCCATTTTCTCTAATTCTCTTATTTTTAAATTATTTAATTATTAATCTCTCAATCAACAACCGTCATGTGGATGTTACTTGATAAGCCACTTACCCACTATTCCATGTTTCAAGTTTATCACATTCGCACCCAATTGATAATCATTTCCTCCATTTTGAATTCTGGAATAAAACTAACTCTTAAATATCTCACAGAAGACCCACTGCCTCTCTCTCTCTCTTCTTCTACTCCTTCTCCTCCTTCTGTTGCTACTTCTTCTCCTTCTCCTTTTCCTTTGCCTATATCTACATCTCTCTCACTCATTCTTCTTCTTCTTCCTCTCCTCCTCCTCCTCCTCTTTTGAAAGAATAATAGGCACAAGTCTGAACACTCTATAGTAAAAAAAAAATGTGGGTTCACTCATTGAAAATTTTTAATAAGCTTACTGTTATTATATTCTCATTGACAAATTTAATAATCTTACTTCTATGTCCATTTGGTGAATAATGTGGGCATTACTCATTGAATCTTTTTAATAATCTTACTCTGATTATATTCTCATTGAAAACTTTTAATAATCTTACTGCTATGTCCATTTGGTTAATAATGTGGGATTACTCATCTAATTAATGATATATATTTGAGTTGTAATTTTTTGGGTTTCATTTGAGTTTTATAACATTACTCTTACATCAAAGAGCCTGAGGGACCTAGTATGGCTTAACATCAAAAAAAGATCAAACAGAACGAATCCTCAAGGAAACAAAAACACACCAGGTTCTGGACAGAAGAATTTGAGGGTAGTGGCCTTGAGCCAAAACTTCCACCTGAATCCCATCATTCAAACAATGATCAAATTTTGTTTCATACATTTTTTCGATCATCTAAGAAGCAGAAACATTTCGATGTATTTCAGAAACATTTGACTTGTTTTGAAAATAAAATAAAAAAATTAAAATTATTTTTCAAAATAATGGTCGAAATATACCAAAATATCTTGAAATACTTTAAAACATTCAGAAATAATTATATAAATGGATTGAAATATAAAAAGAATATTTCAAAACATTATGGAACACTTCAAAGTATTAAAATTTTGATTTCATTATTGATTCGTTCGATCTTCTTGAAAATGGAAACATTTCAAATGTTTCAACAATTTCGAAATGATATTTGGATACTTGCATTCAAGAACCAGAAATGAGTAAGAACAAGGTGGAGCAACACCAAAGGGAAAAACCTCTATTGAACTAAAAGAAACAAGTAGAGGGAAGGTTCCATAATTGAACTATTTGGAGGTTGCTGGTGGAAGTCTTGAATTTTAAAGAAGACAATTTGTTCCTTATGACCTGATGGATTAGACGGGTCAGAGTAATCAGGTCTCTATAGTGGTTTCTAAATCTTTTGGAGTTCCTCTCCAACCACAGATAATAGACTCAAGCAGCCAAGCTAGTTCTGCATATCAATTTTTGCATAGTTTTCTTCTTCCAATTGGTAGCAGTCCATTCAATAAGCTCACCCCATGGCTTGGGTTGCCAAACAAGCCCATTGGTGAGCATAATAGTGAACCAAACTCTTGATGAATATGTGCACTCAAAGAACATTTGTGTGTGGCTCTCATTTGCAGCACTGCAAAGGACACAATTAGAGCCCAAGTGTGTTGCATAGGATTTGATTCTATCAAGGGTGCTTAATCTAGACCTTATAGCCAGCCAAAGAATAAAGCCCATCCGAGGAACAAAATTCGCAGACCAAACCAACTTATACCATTGGACAGGAGGACATCTCAGTCTAATGTGCTCCTAAGCTAAGGAAGTAGAGAATCTTGAATTAGCAGAGAGTATCCAATGGACATTGTCCTCTATAGAAGGGTTAGGGTAATATGAGTGCATCGTGTTGACAATAGCATTTGTGGAAGAGGAGACAGTGGGCGGCCATTGTCATTGCCATTGCCCATGAACAATAATACTGTTAACAAGAGACCCTTTTGGTAGTCCACTGTCTTGAAGGAAGTCAGGCCTGCAAACAAGCATCGAGCGGCCAAGAGGGTGCCAATTGTCATAGCACAACATAGTACCTTCCCTATTGCCAATTTTATGAACCATAAGTGGCCTAAAAGTCTCTAAATTTTAGCAGATTCTGCCAATTCCAAGAGTTTGACTGAGTGGCTTTTGCATCCTAGAAGCTTCTCATCTTCATGTGATAAATGTTCACCCACTTTACCAACCGATTCTTCTTGTCAATAAAGAGTTTCCATTTGTACTTCATTATCAAAGTAGCATTAAAACCCTTAACTCTCTTGATTCCTAATCTACCCTCTTCCTTAGATTTGTAGATATCATCCCATGCGACTTTAGTTCCTGAACTTCTCATCTCTAGTCCTTTCCTCAAACACCTTCTCAGAAGTTGCTCAATTCTTTCAATAACTTGTTGAGGAAGATGAGAGGACAATAAATTTGAATACTGCTTATAACTAACTTGACAAGAAGAAGCCTTCCAACTTAGGAAAGGGACTTATTGGTCTAAGACCAAATTCTCCTCTCAATTCTCACAATAAGCTCATTACAATGTTGGGATCTCAGTCTAAAGGTAATAAGTGAAAGTCTCAGGTACTTCACAGGAAGTTGGCCTTCAGAGAACCCAAAGTTGGAGAATTTTTTCCTTAACATCAGCTTGCACATCACATGTGTAAATATTGCTCTTGAAAAAGTTGACTTACAATCCAGAAAGGAGCTAGAATTGGTCCAGAGCATCCTTGAGAATCTAGCATAAGAGAGATCGCCATAACAAAAGAGTAACAAATCATCTGCAAAAGAGAGAGTAGCGAGGTTAACTTTTTTGCATCTCCAATGAAATTTAAAACTCTTATTGGAGTTAATATTATGGAGGACAAGAAGAAATAAGACTTCTATAACAATCACAAACAAGTATGGGGAGATAGGATCCCCTTGCCTTAATCCCTAGTACTTGGGAAGAATCCAACCAACTCTCCATTTACATTAATAGAGAACTTAAGAGTCAATTTTCCAAATCCACTTCCTAAACTCCATTGGGAACCCATAGGCTCCAAGAGCATCCATCAAGAAATACCAGCTCACCGAATTAATTCTTTAGATCAACTTTAAAAGCAACATGGGAGCTTATCCTCTAAGTTGCTAAATTTGTTCGGAGGGTTTTCCACTAATGTGGCCCAAACACGACCTTAAAACAGCGGCTACAAAGAAAAACCATGTAATAAACTAGGTAAATGATAAATTCCTCAGCATATAGAAACAAAGCCCACAAATACACCCAGAGAGAGG